GGGCAGACATGGAGCCATGTGAAGATTCTAGCAGAGAACCGAACGCAATGGAGACGCACGGCTGAAGCCCTATGTTCCTGTAGGAATTAAAGGATACATTAATAATAATAATAATAATAATAATAATAATAATAATGCATACTTTTTTCACTTTTCACACCCTGTCTGCAACACTAAGCTGCTTCATTATATTTACATGATGCAATTACAGAGATCGTCATAAATGCTGATTGAAACCTTTCATTCATAAATACGATATAGTCACTAGGCTAGAAGAAACTGAGCTATGATACATTTTTATACACTTTGAATCTTATCCATGTGGAAAATAATCCAACTAGTCCGGTTTTTAGAACCAACAATCTGAGGATTGAAGTGTCTGTATATTTATCTCTCTGAGTGAAAAAGAAAATTGCCACTCGTAGAGATTAAAGTAACGTAGCGTGACTGATAAAAATGGTTAAACAACGAAGGTAGTTTTTTAGGCACTTGTATGGAAAATGAGATAATTACTTTAAAATGAAAAAGAATAGTTTTGTAGAAATAAAAATGATAATCAGCGATTATGTGAAACCATTGTTCTGAGAATAAATAGACATTAATTTAGACAAAAAGTCAAGGGAATGGTTTGTATAGAGAAAACAATAAGTGGATTAGAGTAGATTAGATTTTCAAGTGTTAGTTTGCAGAGATTTGATTAGTTTTAAGTTACATTCTGAATTATCATTAGTTAGGGAGCCACTGAGAATCAGGGAGTACTGGACAGCTGTTTTGTTTTATTGTGAAACTCTTCAAAAGTAAGTAACTGTGACTTCCCCAGGGATCAAATTCACGACTTTCAGATTACAAGAAGAGCTCGCTGACCACTCAGTCACCAGGACGGAATCCGATTTCCCGTTAATTCTAACTTCTGTCAGTTTACGATTTATAGTGCCACCAACAGTCGAAATTATCGTGGAGAATTTGTCCCCACATCTGACTTGGTGGACTTCAGTGGTCATAACTTCTAATTAGAACTGCAGGCAACTTCGTCATGTAATAAATCACTAGTTAGTACTAGAGTAGAGTAGGTCTATATAGTCAATTTAAGAAAATACTAAGACGAAATCACTACACCCACAGTGGGTAGCCAAATTCTTCCTTTGCAAATGATTTACCTTAAGCTTAAATATTCAGTAACAGTTATTATGTAACTGATGCCCTGAAAATTCTCCAACGTGTTTTTGCATCGTAGAGTTTTACAGTGGGATTTAGCATTTGTGAAATGGTTTCTTCTTATTACCAGTCTTTAGGTAATCCCTTTAACAAAGTAGCATTTCAAAAGTCAGCATTTTCAAAATTATTTGATCTTAGTTCTGTTTGAAATTAATTCACCCAGTGTCTTACTGCCGACTGTTTTCCAGCAACTAACACAATTATTTGGTTGAGTATTTGTACTGAAAGGACCCTATCCTACGACATTTTATTACAAAATAACTTATCATCCTGTCTTAACATGTATTTTATCTAAACTGTTCAATAGAACTTCCCTAAATTATGAAAAATCTTTACTGATGGTGATACCTCAACGAGGAAGTTGATATTATTTCGATATACTTATAAGATTATTGCTATTAGTGATGAAAATTCCTGGGTAACACCACAAACAGCAACAATCAGCATAAATGGAAGGAACCTGAAAGAAACAACCTCTTTTACCTACCTGGGAAGCATCGTTTCAACTACAGGCGGAACTGAAGAGGATATGAAAGCAAGAATCGGAAAAGCAAGACAACCTTTCACTACTCTCAAGTCTGTGTGGAGGTCAACAACACTCAGCATCAAAAATAAGATCCGGATTTTCAACTCCAATGTGAAGTCAGTGCTACTCACTATACGGATTAGAGACTTGCACTGCGCGTCATAAAGAGCATCTCAAACAAACTACAGACCTTCATTGACAGTTGTCTTCGCTCAATACTCAAGATCAGATGGCCAGAAAAGATCAGCAATAGTGAGAGATCTCTGGGAGCGAACCAACCAGGAACCGATTGTGAAACAAATAGGCAGGAAGAAATGGAGATGGATTGGCCATACTCTGAGGAAACCATAGAGTGACATCACTAGACAAGCCATTGCTCGAGTGGAACCCGAAAGGGAAGCGGCGAGTTGGTCGTCAGTGCAAGGGTGACTTGGAGGAGGTCATGTGAAGAGGAGATGAAAGCGTGTTGGCAGACATGGAGACAGGTGAAGACTCTAGCAGAGAACAGAACGCAATGGAGACGCACGGCTGAAGCCCTATGTTCCTGTAGGAATTAAAGGATACAATAATAATAATAGTGCAATTCATGAAATTTAGGCTCCTAAAAAGGAACACAGTGGTGATCACCATTTATAAAGTAACATAAAATAGGCGTTAAGTCATCATCAAGACATTTGTTATTGCAGCCCATAAGCAATTATGCACCAGTCATTTTAACCTAGTTTAACTACTAATGGGAAATGCATAAATCACAAGATATAATAATTATTAACTACTATTGTGGTCCAGTATTTCAGTAGATAAAGAGTTGACTTTTTAAATAAGGATGCTTAGTTTGAGTTTACCCGGAAATTTTATCAGTTACTAGAATGCGAGTCTCAGACAGAACCAAACGCGCATCATGGATCTCACTGTTATTTGCCATGTATGAAGTAACATTTACTAATTGCAGTTTTTCTAAGTAGAATGTTTGAAACAAGCCAACTTTGATATCACATCACATGTACACAATGACGTAAGCTACTGACTTTTTTTATTCGTTGATCGTTATTACGAAAAAAAGAATTTAAGTGCTGTTTTCTTGTGTTGAAAAATTTTCTTTCTCTTCCAAGTAAGACTCTGAATAATAATACGTCTTGTTTAACATTTACTTCTTTTGTCCTGTATACTTATGATTTTTAAATATGGTTGAACGACTTAATTTGTCTGTATCTTGCTAAGCAAAAAGAAATGACATTCAACAGGTAAAAAATATTAATCTTAGTCTGTAATTCCCCATGGTGATTTACAGACGTCAATCCAATGGAATTTTTGTGAAATGTTTATAGAAAAGCAAACAGTGAAGAAATTTTATCCCTCCTCATTAACAAAAGGAGTTTTGAAAACAAAGCGTTTTATATAGAACTTTAACATGCTTCATTTGTGTAACGTTTATTCAGCAAAATGATGAAAAACATTTTACCCTTAACAGGAATCATTGCAAAGTGAAATAGTGGTTGCTCCTGGTTTCTTGTCAGATTTCTATAAGACTTGGTAGCTAGGCGAATAATTGACTAAGAGAATCTCTTTTTATAGGATGCATGTGACATTTAAGTGTTGAAATGATAGCAGAGAAAATATTATAAATTGAGAAATCTTGGATCTAAGACACTGTTAATTAGTATGCACTCAAAATAAGAGGGGAAGAAGACAGAAAAACAGCAAAAAAATAATCATTACTAGCTTATAAAGTTAAGTAACAGCCTGAGAAAAATTACAATCCGTGAAACTTAAATCTTTTCAGTGAACTGAACCCAATAATGTGGTTAGTTGCGCAACCAAAATCAGTCTGTTTACAAAAGAAATGTGAGTTTTTTCACAATATCTTTCTGGATGCATATGGAAGGGGGAAAGCGTTTTATTACAATTGTCTTTGCACTTCGTAGTCTTCTCTTCATTTAAAAATTTTGAAGGATTCGGGTGTGCTAGCGAAATGTCCTGTGTCCATGAAATGTGTAGAAATTGAGCTCTTGAAATATTTACTTCTCTTTAGTTACAAATGTTTTAATTACGCTCAAAAAACTTATAAAAGCATGTCATTAAGCATGTCTAATGTATTGATGACGAAACTGTTTTTATATTTATAAACACACTTCGAAGTAATTATATTATTATAGTATTATTACTTCTCAGGGTTCCAAGTGTAGCATAAGGGTTCAACAGTACATCTCTGTTTCATCCTACCCTCTACAGTACCCTTTAGCTGGCTTCACGATTGCCCAGAACTCTCATTTCCCCTCTTCACACACAGGACCTTCTCCACATCATCCTCGGACCCAAGCACAACTCATCGTTTCCAATTGGGTTCCACTCGAGGGCCTGGAGCGCAATGTAGGTTAATAGTCTCCTCAGAGTGTGTTCGATCCATTTCCATTTTCTCCGACGTATTTGTTAAACAGCAAGTTCTTGGTTGGTTTTTTCTTGCTTATCCTAAATTGCCGTCCGATCGTCATTCTGGAGAGAATTCAGCTGTTGATAAAAGTCTGCAGTCCATTGAAAATGCTTTTGGTGACGAGTGAGCGAAATCTCTGAACCATACAGAAACACTTACTTGACATTAATGTTATAAATCTGAATCTGTCTTCTCTATGTACATCTGAAGTTCTGTCCTTGCAATCTACTTCCTCTGTAAGCTTGTTAATTTACGCCTACAGACCTATGAGTTTGTGTAACATGAGATATAAATCATCCGCAAAGTCCAGATCCCCTAGAGTCGTCTTATTTGTCCGCCATATTTTTGTTTTCGCGCTTCCTATGGTGATTACAAAATATAGGTAGATAAATGTATCCCCTAAATGTCTTGCATATAAAACATGTTTAATCAAATAGCTAAAGATATGTATCAATCAAGAAAGTAGCCTTACTTATTATGAACTGTTTCTGTCTACCGAAACATTAAGCCATGAAGCAAGTTATTGAAATGCATTTAACTATATTAAAGTTCTCCAACTAGTTGACTTCTTTTAGATCACCTGATTCATTGCATACCAAACTTTTCTTTTTCTGAATAGTCAAGATATTTTTTAATTTGTTATTGCTTATATTAATATAAATTCACCTTAAAAACTCACTAACCTGTATATTCTTTAGTCAGGTCAGTAAGTAAGAATAGAAATGAAAATAGTGAAAAGTTATCACTCACTCCCTTCAGCCAATCAGAATAATTCATTTTGATTTCTTTTTTCCCTCTAGATTCTCTTACATGTCTACATTTTTAATCATTTTGCAATATGAAGTGCTTTGCCAAATAAGCAAGTTTTAGAGAATATATATATCCTTACAAATATTACAAGATAGATTTATAGATATAAAGACAACAGATAATCAAATGTGCTCGAAAGCATTGCATGGACTATAATGTTATTATTTCTAAATAAAAGTCGTCAAAATTTTCACTAAACCGATACAACCTAAAGGATATTGTTATTTTATGAGTAAACAAATTAGAAGTAACACATTTTACTATTCTCAGACAATGCATGGAAATGGCGTTTATTAATAGCTTCGCGTGAATTTATTTACCAAAAATATTAATTATATTGTCACAAGCTAATAAAATTTGCAATGCAAACCTCTTTGAAGCCTGTATTAGGCTCGTCAGCCACAAGTCTTATGAGTGCATCCAGTGGTGGAAGTACTGGTAGTGCAAATGCTTCATCTAGTCAACCGACAATATCAGCTACGCTTACAGCAGTGCACAAAATGGAATCTGAGTTACGGTGTCCATCATGCAGACGATTTTTTCAGTGTCCTTTACTGTTACCTTGCGGACATTCTCTTTGTAATCAGTGTGCAGCTGGGGCACTGCTACCTGCTAATGAACCGAGTATTGCAGCTTCCATTACAGCTGCATTACACCTAACGACTAATGAAAACTTTAGCTCTAGTAGTGGTCCTCCCCAGTCGTCATCTTCATCTTCATCTACAACTGGAAGCAGTATTGGTTGCCCCAGTACATCAAATTCTCAAGGGAACACACAAAGTTTGGGTTGTACTTCAATGATTCATTCAGATTCTGATCAAGTTAGTGTTCTTAGTGAAACAGATTCTGGAGTTATTGTTAGCAGTCGACCAGGTAGTTATGTAGCAAGATTACCAGTTGTAATATGTTCATTAACCTCAGGTTTGAATCCTAGTCAGAGCTACAGTGTTTCTTCATCTTCAATAAGTCAGGTGTCAAGTGGTTTGATATGTCCAGTATGTAATCACGTAGTTGGCCTATTTGATGATAAAGGATTAAGTCATCTTCCAAGAAATCGTGCACTAGAACGAATTATATCAAAATTTGTCAATCCGAGTCAATTGCAGCAGTCTCAAAAGTCCAATGCAGATTTAGAACCTTTTCTGTTAAATTCCAATTCGGATCCAATCAGTCGACCAGGTGGGCCACTTTGCCAACTCTGTGAAGAACCTAGTATCCCATCAGAAAACCAAACGGCTTCAGATAGCAATAAATTAGAGGCAAGTGAACAAAACTGTCTAGCCACATTTTGGTGTGAACAATGTGAAATTTTCTATTGTACACGATGTCGTGAAAAGTGTCATCCACCACGTGGACCCCTGAATCGTCATGCATTACATTCAGCAACACAAGGTGTGGAAATAATCAGACAAAAGCAGCGTAATCAACCTACACCATGCATGTCACATTTAAATTTAATACCAAATCTTTATTGTGTTAACTGTCATATACCAGTGTGCAATGAGTGTATTAGTGCGGATAATTCACAAACATTTGAAACACATTCAAAACATGAAATACTTCCACTGCTCGGAGTTTGTAAATCGCGCAAAGTAAGTCAAAACTCCTCAGTATATACCCCCGTAGTTTGTAAGCCTTTTTCAACTGTTTGTTTTCCTAAAAATTAAGGATAACCACACAGCAACTTATTTTACGGAAGTATTGAATAAAGAATTCATCTTAATTGAAAAAAATAAAAATAAACCGGGTTATATCTAAAAAGCGTTTACTGCTAATTCAGTCAACAAAGCACATTATAGCTTCCTTTGTCTATAAGAAATAGACTGATCCAGAAATTCACTTGTTCAAAGGTTAGCGGGGTAAAACATTGATGAATACCGTGCCGTTATACGCCACCTGTTTCATGCTTAGTCATCTAGTCTTTTTTTTCCTTTCAAATGGGACGAATATATACATGCATGATGTCAAATAAACTAAGTGACTCCAACACCACGATGTACTTTTTCTTATAGACAATCATATATTAAATGTGCTTAAATATTCATTAATTAGATAAAAAAACATGTAATATGAATTTATGGAATATATTTTTAAAAACACTTTAAGTTAATTTCTACCGTTTCGTCTAAATATAACGTTAGATATGCAATGTCATAATTTAATTTTTATATTGGCCGGTGTAAAGTAATTATGTTTAGAAAGGTCTATGCAGTCATAATTACTTCGTTTCAGTACAGTTACCTGTTTACAGTCAAGCGGTGCACAATACTAACAACCATAGAAATTGTACTCTGTATATTTCATAATAAAATGTGATTGTCTTGCAAAAGTATCGTGAAAAGCAAACGAAATAAACCTGTAATAGCTTATATATATACTGCATTAGTTATGTAATAGGCGTGTTTATAATTTACTGATTGTCATACAATACAAATTTTCTTCACCACCTGAGAAAATATTGTGAACAGCCTGATGTAAACTATGGAGGTGATTAATACTCAAAACTGAAGCAGTTTTCTCTCTGTGACTAATCTAGCAGACCTTAAGAGTATCCATTCAAAATTTTGATGCAAAGTAGTTATTTTCAGCCTTCTTTCAGGTTCGATCATGGACTGATGTGAGTTAGAGAACCATTGAAAACCGGGAAGTACTGGACAGCTGTTTTGCCCTAGTTGGAGATTAATCATCAGCACGCACCCAAAAGCATACCGGGAATCGAACCTAGGGCCTTCGGCTTATGAGGTCAAGAGCTTTGAAAATTCTTCCAACTGGACTGCAATGCAATGGCTAGCGAATTCTAGCTTCTATCTATCCAACTTTCTTTTTAATGATTTATATATTTAAAATAAAATCAAACAATAGGCATATTTCTATTATTTGCGAGAAACCGAAGTGAGAATAATTGGTGAAGCTAAGTAACACCTATTCCGCTAAATTTAGAAATACTTTCATCGTTGAAGAGGCCGTTTAATACTCATTCGCTTTGACAGGCTGGTCTTAATTTAACTACTTATAGACTGGAATTGAAACGAAACCTAGTGTCGCAGGAATATTCATATAAATAAATATTCGCATTAGCTGGATTATATACCAATAAGATAGATTTCGTCAAGTATATGCTTAGTCACACTTTAGATAATATGACAAACAGAGTAAGGCTGTGAATAGTTATTATATGCATTACACATATAAAGAATTTAGTAAAACGATTAAATCCTATTCTGTCTATGAAAATTTGGGCTTATAGGCGGGATCAATGAAGTTTGACTGATTCCTTCGTGTGCATTATTATTGTCTCCTTTAGTTCCTAGAGGAACGTATCCATTGCGTCCGGTTCTCTGTGAACGTTTTCACCTGGCTCCACGTGTGCCTACATGCTTTCATCTCCTCTTCACATGGCCTCCTCAGTGTCACCCTCGCACTGACGATCAACTCGTCACTTCCCATTCGTGTTCCACTCGACAATCTGGCATGTGATGTCACTTGATGGTTTTCTCAGAGTATGTCCAATCCACCTCATTCTTGCTATTGTTGTACAATCGGTTCCTGGTTGGTTTGCTCCCAGAAATCCCTGTTGCTGATCTTTTCTGGCCGGCCATCTGATCTTGAGTATTGAGCGAAGACAGCTGTTGATGAAGGTTTGTAGCTTGTTATAAGTGCCCTTCCTGACTCACCAAGTCTCTGATCCGTATGGTAGCACAGACTTCACATTGGAATTGAAAAAGTGCATCTTATTTTTCATGCTGAGTGCTTTTGACCTCCACACAGACTTGCCTTGCTTTCCCGATCCTCGCTTGTATATATATATATATATATATATCAGCAATTGTTAATTTTATATTCAGTAGTTTTAGATTTTAATATTTCATGTAAATTCATGTAGGGAAATAACAAATTATAAAGATTCGTGAAATGTGGTTTTTGAGCTATATTTTCTGTTATCAATAGTCTTTAAAGCAGAGGTTAAAGACCCATTTTTCTTCAGTATTTCTTACATGCTTTTCTTTATCAGCCATTGACATTTAGTTCTATTTTATTCATTGCATTAGGCAAAAGTAATTTCATGAATGAATTTATTTCCGTTTATACTTTCATATCTCTTTCCCATGATTTCGTTGCCTATTGTTCACCTTTATATAAATGAGTATGGAATTTCGATAATATTTAATGACCTTAAATGAATTAGATCAATTTCTAACTTCTCCTAAATAGATAAATCATATACTGATTATGGGATAATGAAAAGAAGTAAAGGCAACGTACAGATCACTATGAATGAATATCTAAAATAGTAAAACCCAACAATTAACTACTGCTTTGAGAATAGTTAGGTGAGGTTACTTCTTCATTTAACGTTACCTAGTAGACATTTAACTCTGCATGCAGTTCATCTAAAGTGCTGCAAACCTTTTCATAATAAAATTATATACTATAATAATGAAGTCTGTGTAGTTTACTCGTGATGTAGGACATTTTTAAATCCCTTTACGTTCCCACTGAAACATAGAGCTTCAAGCTAAAGGCTTGAAGTTTCGGAAACATTGGTATTTATTTTTACGGGATGGGGTTTCTTGCTTCATGCTCAACCTTCCCTCTTTACCCGTCTTATTCCTGGCTTAGTGAGGTAAAGGAGTGTGTTGGCCCGTGATAGAACCCCTGACCAAATACGTGGTCGGTGAGCATTCTGCCTCTGTGCCTCCGACGCACAGGATGTGGGACATGCTTTTGTCAATTTAAGTTAATTCATAGAACAATATATCATTATATGAAATATTTATATCACACATTTTATTAATCTGTAATTCATCACGATGATAGAGATCTTCCCTTGTCTGATATATTTAAACTTCTTTTGTATGAAGTATTCAAGGATGGGGTGATTAGGTTAGCATAAATAAATGCTTCACACTGACTGATTTGGAAGTAGATAGGCTAAAGTTCTGTTAGAAGTCTGTGAATTATCATTTCCTGGATTTAAGAGTCGTACGGATTGTGCTTCACAGTACTTGACTGTATAGGTAAGTTGGACTACTAAAATCTTCGGTAAGAGGACTAAATGTATATGTTTTAACTGCAATTAAACGACACTCTTAACACCATTATTGATGGAAAACCAGTGACACACTCTCCATTTTCACAAATGGATCCTTAAAATATGTTTAACAGCTGACCCTTAACCGATGTACTTATGGTTTTGACTTGTTTCTCACTAATTATTTATTCCAACTTCTCCAATTAAGTATACCCAAAATGTAACAGACTATATACTTGCAAGCGTATTATCACAACTATGTGTAGAGCTACCACAACTGTCAAACACTTCTGTATCAATATTTAAATGCCACCTAATGTCTCTTATTGTATGATTCCTTTGTCAGACGAGAAAGTACTGATTTATGATGCCACAAAAAAAGATGAATATTTTTTATTGATTACTCGTAGGGTTGCTCTCAAATTTTCCCTACTATATACTTTTTATCTGACATGTGTATACAAGTATACACACAAGACAATATGTCTATATCATTATGAGAAACCGACTTATGCGAAAGAAAATAAATAATCTTGAATCAAAGTATCTTCGTGAGATAAAACAAAATCAGATTAGGATGTTGATCTTTGTGTCAATGGATTACAATTGGATTTTAATACCTCTTTAAAGAAACTTGAAGATGGTGCGTTTATTTACAAAAAGAATCATAAATGTTCACTCTTCACTTCTGTAATACGTGTTTGAAAACACTTTTACAAGTGGGCAACAACTAATAATCATTTAGATACAGAAAACAGTCGGTCATTTACTGATTTTTCTGAATTAACAGAGTTTTAAAGGATATTTTGCAAACAGATGTGAAAATACTAGTATGTATCTAAGTGACATAAATGAATGAAGATACCTTCTCGTAAATCATTTTGCAGTTTTTTAAACGGTTGTTTTGAGCACTGTACAATATAGTAGAGTGCACTAAAACTGAAAGTTTGTTGTTACCAGGAAACGTAACCATAAGAATGGAATAACAGTGTGTTTTCTACAAAAAGAAATTAGACATCTGAAATGTAGATTCAAAAGGTTTTCCTTTTACATTTCATACACAGTAACTTTATTGCTTCACTAATTTTTTTAAAATCATTCTTCAGCAACATAAACTAAAGCTGTTTATATGGTGGGCAAATTACTGATTTACGGTTTATGGAGTACTTATTTTTCAGTAGTTAATATGAGGTTCCATTTGTGGATAGCATCTGTTACTCAGAAGGATTTTTTTCGGTATTATTGTGCATTCTGAACTCGACGGTTTAATTATGAACATTCGAGTGCCAATTTCAGTGCATAAATAGTAATGTTTGGAGTATTCAGTGCAGTTTAGTGATTGAGTGTCATTGGTATGCGTACGTATCAGATCTTAAGTGGAAACTAAGAAAATTAATAGCAGTTGTTTCAAATTTGATCAGCGATTCATGTCAGTTGAAGAACCACTGGCAACCAGGGAGCACTGGGTCACCGTTTCGTCCTAGTTTGGGGTTCTCCTGTAATCTACACCTATGGCTCCACAAGGGAACGAACCCGAGGCTTTCAGGTAAAGAGGCCAAG